GCCTGACTGACTGGCTGCTGGAGACACGCGTCGCGGCCTCACACGCTGACAACAGACAGGAACAAACATGTTTAAATTTGTTAGCGGACTTAAAGTTAGCGGAACTAAATTTAGCGGAAGCTAATTGGTCCGATAATGGTTTCCAAAGTTAGCGAAAACGCTAATCCGCAAACGAGAAAGTTAGCTTCGCTAATTAGCGGTTCGCGGATTAGCAGAACCGTGCCCACCACTGCTACGCTGCCACCAGCTCTCGTGATGTAATTGCCAGTATACATTCCCTCGCAAGCGAGATGTCACGTGTTCGATTCCCGGGCCAGTGGAAAGTTGTTCTGCCACATTTCCCAGCCTGTCTTGGTCCCTGTTCACCTAGCAGCAAAGTAGGTACTTGTTGTAAATCGAAAGTTGCGAATTCATATTCAGGGAAAGTTGTTTTAGCTTCCAATAACTTGCTTAGACATGAAACCATTGACTCTTCAGGCTTCTACGCTAGGGTTGCCATATCTGAACATTCAAAAGAGACACCCCCCCCCCCCGGCACACACAGGCTAATATACATCATACATGGTATAGAAATCTTTAAAAAACATTACCTTTGCTTAAGGCTGAACATCTTCATTCCCTTAGCTGCAGTCTTCTCCCCCCACTGTGTGTGATGTGCCCATGCATACTTTTCTGTAGATCGGATCTTTTTCAGTATTGGCTGATCGCTCTTTAGAAAGGTATAGAAGTCACTGCAAGATGTTTCTCGGAAGTTGTACTGTACAGTCAGAATGCCTTTCATTGTTTAACACTCAATTTGTTCCTTTCCTTTGTCCATTGGCTTTGCATCAGTGAAAAAACTTTCTACATTTGCATTGCGAGATGATATAGCAAAGAAGAATTGTGCAATTCTTAGCAATTCTGAGTGACATTCAATGTTTGATTTTTCAAAGTATCTGGTCCACTTTTTGTGCTGGCAGATTACTAAATTCTTCATCACTTGTAATTTTCCACAAACTGCTTCAGGTTACTAACTTGGTCAAAACACTTGATCAACTTCTACCCCCTTATCAATCAAATATTTGACAGCTAAATTGACAACACCGTACAGGCGTACAAGTGACTTATCAGCTGACGAAAACTGAACGAGATCTCTACGGTTTCCACCTTCCCTCTCTCTCTCTCTCTCTCTCCCGTCATTACAGTTTCATGTTTTTTTTTCCGTGGAGAAAATGATGGAAGCTAAAATACCGGACTTTTGAAGAATTTTAAAAATTCCTTCCGGATGAAGATTTCGAGACCTAAATGGAGGACATGTCCGGGAAAATACAGACGTATGGCAACCCTATTCTACGCCCTTAACTCATGAGACATAAAGGCAAGCATGAACTTAGCATGCTTCCCTGTTGGGCGCTGTAAACGCTTCTGCGCTTCACCTTACACGAAGATGTAGGGAGGGTGCCCAATAAAAAAAAAATAAAAGTATACTTTCATTCAGTTTGGCCAAGGCTGCTTGACGTATCCTGACATCCGAGAGTAATTCTTGGGACTGACTCAATGGCTTCTTTGATTTGGACCCTTTGGCATACTTGTTGCAGGAAATGTATATCTGTTCTGGTACACGTGATGAACCTGGTGAAGGTTCTCTGGTGGACTTCCTTATTTCTGTGCCGTAGATGGGAGTTGTTCATCTCTCCATAATCTTTAAAGAGTTTTCTTGAGAGTAAAATAATGTTGCACGACGGTTCCTGTGATAATACAGTTTGTCGTCATATTCTTCATGTTGTAGATCAGTAATGGGATGGAAGTTATGGATGCTGGCTGCTTTCTACACAGTTTACACTGACTTGGTCTATCGGTTGGTCAGATCAGAGATGGCGCTGCCGAAACATATGATACATGGTCGTTTCTCTTGTCCCTTCCAGTGAGGCCGTGTCTTTAGTTTCTCTGGATCCATCATTACATTCACTCACTCATCCTGTAAATAGTATACATCTAATTATGATTATAAATATATATACCTGTATATATACCTGTATATATATATATATATATATATATATATATATATATATATATATATATATATATATATATATATATATATAGAGAGAGAGAGAGAGAGAGAGAGAGAGAGAGAGAGAGAGAGAGAGAGAGAGATTCTATCATGCATATTTGCCATCCCCCAGGCCTAGGGTGTACTATCACAATAAAATGGGTGCGTATACTCAGGGCCGGATTTACCAATAGGCCAAGTAAGCCATTGGCCTAGGGCCCACCGGTATCTGGGGGCCCACTGAAACTAATTTGTCGCCAGGGCCGGATTAAGCTTAATAGGGGCCTGAAGCACAAATCAACTTGGGGGCCCCTACCCTCAAGGTATATATATATATATATATATATATTTCATTAGCCCAATAGCACGAGGGTTGAGGTGTTGATTGTGTGTGTGTGTGTAAAATGGAAGATGTTCTGAAGCTCAGTAATAACGAAATAACTAGAACAAATGGCTTTAAATTAGATAAATTCCGATTCAGAAAGGATATAGGCAAGCACTGGTTTGGTAATAGAGTTGTGGATATGTGGAATAGGCTACCGAGTGCTATAGTAGGATCGGGGACGCTAGGGAGCTTCAAGACGAAGTTGGATAGGCACATGGAAGTGCTGGGATGGGTGTGAAAGGGATCTGCCCTTTATGGGCCAGTCGGCCTCCTGCAGTATCCCACTTTCTTATGTTCTATATATATATATATATATATATATATATATATATATATATATATATATATATATATATATATATATATATAGCAAGAACAAAATATACCAAAATTTATCAATGATTTCATCAATATTAAGCTTCTGCAAAATAACACATTCAATGTTCATAAGAGACAGAAAATTGAGACGTTGCTGGGACATACGAAGTTCATGTTTTTTACGCTTCTACTTCGAGAATGTTTGGATTTGGGGGTCCCTTGGAGTCGGGGGGCCTGAGGCCAGTGCCTCAAGTGCCTCATGGTTAATCCGGCACTGTTTGTCGCGCAGCGTGCCAGCGTATAACCTTGTTTCAAGTGTACACCGAGTATTTCATTATATCATATATTCACAACCATAAGGGCTCCTGTACAATAAGTATAGGCCTGCAGTGGTCTTCAACTGGTGGGCCATGGCCCACGCCATGGGGTGGTTCTCAGGTGGGCCACGGACTAGGCCCTATACTAAAATGAAGAAAATAAGATAATAATAAAAAATATATACATTTTTTAAATGTCCGTGTCCCACCATCGATCTGTCGATATATTTATTTATCTACCTATCTATACATGCATATATACTGGGGAGAGAGAGAGAGAAGTTCAAGAAACCTTCCGCGCCTTGACGTGTGAAGGACAGGATCGTTTCACGTTCAGTACGTGTCAGGGTTACCGTTGGTTTGCTGACAGCTCGCTCAGCCAGTCATGCAGTCAGTCATTGAAACATGCAAACATTTCTATAAATTTGGGGGCCCACAATTAGGTAAATCCGGCCCTGAACATTTCTATAAATTTGGGGGCCCACTGATGAGTTTGGCCTGGGGCCCACAAGTAGGTAAATCCGGCCCTGAACATTTCTAAAAATTTGGGGGCCCACTGATGAGTTTGGCCTGGGGCCCACAAGTAGGTAAATCCGGCCCTGAACATTTCTAAAATTTGGGGGCCCACTGATGAGTTTGGCCTGGGGCCCACAAGTAGGTAAATCCGGCCCTGAACATTTCTAAAAATTTGGGGGCCCACTGATGAGTTTGGCCTGGGGCCCACAAGTAGGTAAATCCGGCCCTGAACATTTCTAAAAAATTGGGGGCCCACTGATGAGTTTGGCCTGGGGCCCACAAGTAGGTAAATCCGGGTCCGACTAATTACCCAAATGCGGCTACCTTTGGCTACATTTGGGTAATTCCTCGCTCCGTCGGTACATGCACGCGATCTATTAACTCAGATTAAAGTAAGTTTTCCAATTTTTTGTGACTTTCTGACACCAAATACTAGTCGAGAAGTGATTGGCAGTCCGATTTATTCATTTAGGACCATTATTTGACTTCATTCCGGCTATATTTGGCTACATTTGGGTACATTTGGGTAATTAGTCGGACCGGGTAAAAATCCGGCCCTGCGTATACTGCAGAGTGGTGCCCTCATTATGGTACCTATATCTCACTCGGCTCACTGAATACCTGTATAAAGAAGGCTGGTAGTTTATCCGTTCAACACTATAATCATTGTCTTTCCCACACGAGTGTCGTTAACGACACCTTATGGTTGGCAGAAATAATGACTAACCTCGTATGGTTTACGGGTGACAACTTGGAAACCGCCTTACCAACTAGACAAGTCAGAGTATGTCCTGCACTTCTCTGTTCCCTTTGCAATCATCCCGCAGCTGTGCGCTACTGAGCAACTTCACCTGGACTGTGTCGGTCAGTGACCAGTGACCACCTACCATACGGAGAGCCGCTGACCACAGTGAGTCACAACTTGTTTCAACTTTATAAATTAGGTAAAATACTAGTACCCAACCCACACCACTGGATACTGACTGGACTCGTTTTCATCTCTAGTTTGTGCAGATAACATTATAAATAATTTCAATGGTGATCAGTAGTAGTATCTATAAAGATAAATTAATTAAATTGGAATATATATGAGACTTAAATACTGCTCTTAGTCTACAATAAGGAAATGCAAGAACATTTGAAAATCGCGGGCAGCTGTCGAGTTAAAATGTATCAAATGAGAAACATAACTTTTTCTTTAATAAAAATTGACGTAAATATCAACATCGATTTATCTGTGATGAGTCCTTATCTTATAATTTTGCTTATAAAACAACAATTTTATTAAAATTTCTTCAAGAGATGATATAAATTTTACAAATGGTAATAACATGAACTTTAATAATATGTCATGGCGGCGTTGTTAAAGGTTTGTTGTACTATGGTATTACTTCACATTTCTTTATTTTCTCCTCCCCAGATGAAGCTAGACACAAGATATTTTGTTGTTGTATGCATGAACAGTTAAATATTGAGTATTTAGTGAGATTTTAGTAATTTATTGCCGAGATAAGGAGTAATAGGGGCGACAGTGGCATGTCATGGTTTGTTTACATCTCTATATGACTTTGTCACCGAGCTGGGCTGCCATCCAAGAATTTCTCTTTGTTGTTCTGAGTCGCACATGATGTCGTATTTAATGGCGTAGTTAAGGTTTGGCTGTGATGGAAGACGCAGTGAATCTAGCGTCCCTCAGAGCAAGGCAGTGTGGGAAGTGAGGGGTTGGTGGTGGCCAGAGCTCAGTTGTTGGTCTGGTATACAGCAGGCTCTTGTACCTCAATGTTCTCTTCTGCCCTTATCATGAAATATAGGTCTGCTGCTTGAGGCCCAAAAGTGTAGGCGAAATAGTATTTTGGGATTGTGGGTTTGTGATGGCAAACCTCGGGAATGTGTCATATTTATCAGAGGTCATAAGTTTGACAGTGTTTGTAAAGCCAGTGTGTTGTGATGTGGGAGTGCACTTAATTTAGAATTTTTTTGGAGACATCCAGCATGCAAGGATTTCTCATCAGAATACAGGAATCTTTGAGAGAGGTTAGGTTAGGTAAGGTAATCTCAGTTCGATGGTAATCTCAGCTCGCCACATCAGCACGAAGATTCAAGTGCTATAAGTACGTACTCAGTGATCGCGAGTGTCCTGTAGGCCTTAAATGTTATTCTATATATTTATTTTGAAGGTTATTTTAACACACTTTTGAATTGTTTTTTTTTTGTAACTTTCATTTTAGGCAGTTGTTACTTGTCTGGTCACGGACTTTTACTTACTTCTGCTATTTGTCTGGCATTCATTGTAATTGGTCATTTGCAAACTTAAACTGACCTAACTTACCCATGTTTACAAGTGACTGAATTCAGTAATCTTGGTCATCAGCCTCAACCAACAGAGTGATTGCTGGACAAATAACAGAAGTAAGTAAAAAGTCTAACCGGAAAAATAACTGCTTCATTTATTTTACCATTGGTAATAATGCATATAATTCATGTCTGTGGTAGAGAAAGGAAAAATTAAGGAAATTGTTTTAGTGACGTTTGTGTTTTATGCATGAAAACCATTATTTCTGGGGTATTTTGGTGTTTTTTGTTTTAAATATGACCTTCATTTCCTTGGAAAATTAATGGTTTTCAAGTAAGTGATGATTTTACATGTCAATGACATACAGAATTAACTAATAAAAATAACTACCTAACTTCCTAGCTGGGGGCTCCGCCCCCTCGGACCCCCGCCATATTAAACAGAAAGTATTTATTTTGATATCTGGTACCAATGAAAGCAACTTTGTCGAAGCATCATGGAGTAATTTAATGTTTTTAGTGGACATGGGAGTACTCTGGGACTGAGTGGGCCAGTTTTTAAACAAACAGACGACACACAGAGATTTGGCAGATTTTTCGGAGGAGTATTTACAGTAAATAATTCAACTTTCGACATTACCTCCAAAATAAAGACTATCCAAGAATATTGAAAGGTAATGTAACCTTTATCTAAAGTCCAAATAGCACAATATTAACTCTTTCTACAGGAAATGTTAACATCAGTAAAACCAACGTTAATCAAAATTAATCTTAAATTTACTCATCAATTGTAAGGATTCCGTGGCCTCCACATCTATTGTGCTTTGCTGTTTTATAATACGAAAAACTTCACTAAAAACTAATTAATTTTAGCAGAAACCAATGGGTGCTGGAACAATTGGTCAGTGGTTCATTCCTGCTAAAACAAAAATAAGTCTGGCATTCTTGCTGATTCTTAAGTAAACTAAAGTTTTCAGTATCTTTACACAGCTACCAAGTACGACAGTATGTATTCTGTGCATTAAAGTACTTAAAAAGCAGAAAAGTAAACTACAAGTATAAAACTTATAAATTGAAACTCTCAAGTGGAAGATGAATTAATTTGTTCTAGACACCTTAGACACACATTGAAAACACTTCTCTAGGTAAAGAACTTACCTTGCTGGGACCAGAAAAATTTCTCAATTACTGTACAGGACTGTACTATATGTACAGTCAGTAAAAAAAAGTATCTACCATTTTCAATGTTGTACAATATGACACACTGGACCAAGAATTCTGACCAATTCCTCTGAGTTGTGCCATCTGTTGGTAGACCTGCAGTCCATACTTCGAGTTGCCAGTTACTCTTTATCTTTTGGTTTTTACAGCTAAGGTGTTTAATTGTTAGTGTGCACAATGTGTTTTAAATCATACAAATAAAGCAGTGAGGAAGGTCTCTTATAATGTGGTATAATAAAGAGGTTTTGTAAGCTCATTTCATAAAACATTTATTTCTTTACAGCAACTCATGTCCTGATGAGAATTAGTGTAGGGCTTACAAAACTTAATACAGTACTGTAATTTATATTTTTCTTCCTCTTTGATGAGGTCATATATTTCATCCAATGTTACTTTAAATCAAATATAAGTTTGAATACTGAGGAGTTGCGTGAACCTCTCTTTATCTCATATGTGATACAGTATTCCTATAAGGCAACTCATATACACTAGTATTGTATATCCTATAGCGGAACATATTTTTTATGTGGGTAATACAACATGATATACATTATATTAATATAATATTGTCTGTTTTTTTTAAGGTTTTCCATGTGCCGTATTATGGTCAATTTTTCTATTTTAACTATACGTAATATAGAGGATATATCATATTTGTTAAACAATACGTTACACGATCAGAAATACCAATCCTACTAAATGAACACGATCTCAGACACAGTGATCATTTTCAAGGCCATCAGATCAGGGGTGCAGATCCTTTTTTTTGCTGACTGTACATACAGTACAGTAGAGGTAATTGTGAAGAAAGTCATCATGTAGCTACAGAAAACAAACCTTGCAGTCCACCTGATCTGTACAGTAATAAAGTTTTATATTTATAATGACAAACATGCGGTTATAGTCTACAGTACAGTATTTGCGTTGATCAGTGAGGGGTGGAGGGGACAACTCTCTCATCCACAAAATTCATTCATTGTACAGGGTATACCATAATAGGCTTTGCACCAAACATTGCAAAATATTGCACTCATTCTATCTCATAGAAAACTGAAGTGGTTGAGCATTTGACACGGTGGGTCATCATCTATTGCTTCGTGATCTTTGGTTATTTGGTGTCCATGAGAATGCACTCTCACTACTTGAGTCTTATTTGTCAGAGCGATCTCAATGTGTGATGGTTGGTGAAACCATTTCAGACCTTGTCTCTTTGCAGTTTGGAGTCCCACAGGGATCAGTTTTGGACCAATTCTGTTTACAGTCTATGCAAGTGCGGGTAGTCTGCATCTCTGCTGGATGCTCATGGTGTTGCCTACCATTTCTATGCCTATGATACACAGCTTTGTGTGAAAATGGTAAAAGTTGAGGATATTGAGGAGATATAGTAATGAAATCCTTGATGTCTGATATTATTACTTGGATGGCTAGGAGAAAATTTAAACTGAATGACAGCAAAACCAAGATTATTTTGTCATCCAAGGAAATAGGAGGGGTGAGAGCACAGATGATTTGGCTCCTTAAATTTGGGGAAGTGCAACTCAGTCCTGTCAATTCTGTTAGTAATCTTGGAGTGTACTCTGACTCTAAAATGAATTTTAAAGTGCACATAAATTCAGTAGCTAAGAGTTGCAACTTTCATATTTGAAATTTATATTCTGTTAAACAGTTTTTGGATGGACAGTGTCTTGTGACACTTACAATCCCTTATTTTGTCTCGGGTTGACTATTATAACTACCTAATTATATACTGTACTGAAGACATTTCAAACATTGTTTAACAGGGTTGCCAGGCTTGTTTTTGTTCTCCCACCGAGGACTCCCACTACCCCATTCTTGATTGAATTACATTGGTTTCTAATTAAAGCTAAGATAAAGTTCAAACTCTGTATAATGACTTTTGAGACACTAATGTTTGGTGAGGCTAAGTATTTGGTCAACCTACTAATTCCACTGACTATACTGTACATTCTGAAGTGATTTTGTGTAGTACTGTTGTAGTACGACACCTTGAGGAGCCTAGAGCAGTACTGTACAGGAATGTTCTTTTGTTGACCGATCCCTTTCCTATACAACACCCAGATTGTACAGTCAGTTGCCTGCATCCATGAAGCAGCTGACTTCTGTGGAGGTCTTTTAGAAACAACTTATGACCTTTAATTATTCATTTATTTATTTATTTATTTATTTATTTATTTATTTGTTGTTTTTTAAAGCTTATGATCCCAAACAGGGTACAGTGATGGAGAATTACAGGGCTTGGGAAGTATTAAAACTTAAGAGTATATGAATGATAGAAGTTGAACTGTCACTTTTTGTGATCTTTTATTGTAGTACAGTATAGTTTTTTTTTATTCTCAAGTCTTTGACTTCGTTGTATTTCAAGTGCTAGTGAATTCCTTAGAACTGACACTTTTGAGAAACAAAAGACCAGCAATTATTATTATAACTTATGTAGAAAATTTTGAACTGGTAAAAAATGTGATGTTTGATAAATTATTATTTACAAAGAAATGGTTGAAGCTGTAAAACTACAAATTGCGTGACATAAACTAAAGTAATTTACTTTTAAATTGATGCCTGAATGGTTTTGCAATTACAGTACTGAATATGGAATAAGCTGACAGATATATTTTTAAGTTAGAAATTCAAGGATTAATCCTGAAATCCCATATTATGTCAAAGCCCAGGACTAGGTGACATGAATGTGTACGCTCATTAAAGTGTCTGTCTAGGACGTGGATACCATGACAAAAGTGACCAGGATTATTTTAAATGAATAGATAAACTAAATAATGATTGCCAATACTTCAGACAATTTCAGAAAAATATTGTACACTTTTGGGGAGAGAACAGTGTCTTGGTGACAACAATGGTGAGATGTAGATTTGGGGAAGCTTTTGTCTCTTTCCCACATACATTTACTGCATAAAAACTTATTTTCATTGTACTCCATGGCTGAACTTACAGAGACAATATAATACTATACCGGTACTCTTCGACTTACGACCACCCGGACATACGACCGCCACAGTCGTATAAAATATTTTTCAAATTACGTATTTTCGAGTCCCAACGTTAGTGATCGCGCTGTGTAATGACAAAATTTTCGTTTGTAATTCCCTTTAAAATGGCTGGCAAGCGTAAAAGTGAGAGTTCTCGTGGTGCTGAGAAGAAAAAGAGACACCCATTTTAGATTTTCTATGTATTATTTTCGCATTTTCGACTTACAACCAATTTGACTTACTACCTGGTCGTCGGTCCCTAACCCCGTCGTAAGCCGAGGACTGTCTGTATTACTTTCTGGATGATGATTTTTGACCATGATGATATCACTGGGTTGTGTCATGATTACCGTACATGAACTTGAGACAAGAATTATATAATGAAGCTATGAGTAATTTTTGTCCAGTATTTTTATCGTCAGTCCCAAGATAGAAAATAAAAATCATACCTGGTAGTTCTAAGTTTCAGTATTGACAAAACTAAAGTTATCACCCTTAGTGTCATCATGAGGTACCGGTAACTTATGCTTTGTGTTTCCGCTCTAAGTGATGTGGTTATCTGAGATGGACATCAGCTGTGCAACACTTGTGCACTGTAGTGCCCCAGTGGATCACAATAGATATGGCTGGTTATTGGTTTGCTCAATTTGATTCCTTCATTACACTGTAACATTCAAGGAACTGAAGTACTACTGTGATTTGTGATGTTCTCAGATATGCTAAAGAAATTTTCAGTGAACTAATGAATTGAATATATATGAAGGCTCAGGAAGGTGCCATATGCATGGAAATATTTAGGGACTAAGTCCATTAAGTGTTAATAGTCAGAAGATAAACTACAGTAATCGACTATAAGTTTGAAATTTATTTAAGTGACTGGGGGATTTTTTGCCGATAAGTGATCACTCTGTGCCTGTGGACCTATTGACAGATAACGTGTGATTAACACCACTACCCCAAGCTATGGGGTCAATTTGGCAGGTGAGTACTTTGGTTATAGATAAAAAAGTCATCACTTCAGGGTTCACTTCCTCACAAGGGTAGGCCTGTACAGTAAATATCATACAGTATCTGGATAGATCATACCCTTTAGTACTGTACTGTAATCCAGAGTCATATAGCTGGAGGCAAATGGTGTCAGGTTGTTGGGTTATTAGAAACAATCTCTGGTGGAGCTGATCAGTTTAGTACAGTATAGTCTAGATTGATAACAATAAAATTTTGGAAAATTTACTATTAGAATAATGAGTATATTATCCTGGAACATAATTATTTTGCTACTGTACTCTACTCATGTTGGGTCATGATTGGAAAGGTATCAGTGAACAGTATCAGATACTAAGGATGATATTGCATTGTCAGGTTGGGAATAATTTCAGGTTGTTTGGTGAAAATGTGATGATTTTTAAATTTTGATTCATGACAGAGATAGTTTTTGACCGTGGACATAGTATGGGTAGTGTTATGGGTTAGGCGGCAGGATATTGAGTATATTATCTCCCCAGGACAAAGGAACCGTCACCTTTGAGGAGAAATGGCCGGCGATGCGACCGACCGTGTTGAAGCTGCTGAGGCAGGAGTGTGTGAGTCGTGCCGAGTGGCAAGACTTATTTTGGGCTGTCCACAAAGTCTGTCTGTGGGATGAGAAAGGCCCTCCAAAGGTTCAGAAGGCACTACAAGATGACATACTTGACTTCATCACACATGCTCAGGCGGTAAGGAAAACATTCTTTTATCTTTGTTAATCAACTCGGTGTTAACTGTTCCCAGCATGACTGTAATGTTTTTATATGTGAGTTTATTTCAGATGCAGCTTAACACACTCATCTGTGTATTTTTAACTGGTAGTGTTAGTAGTGAAAATTTTTTAGTGTTACATTACAGTATGTATACTGCTGTTGCTTTTTAAAAGTAAAGATTGATTTACTGTATTATTATCCACTTACTGTAAGTAACCATTTCTTGAAACCAAGTATTTATGTACCTCTACTGCATTATGTGATTTTTATAAAACAGTACTAAAAGTAATTACTTTCAGAATACCGTTAATATTATAGTTTGTTAAAAGTAAGTTAAATTGAGCACTAAACCTGCCATTGCTATTGCTCCTTATTATGATGGAGTAGAGAAATGGCTACAGTATAATAGTAACATGAGAAAAGATGTGTAGCAGCAAATAGCACATACAGTCGAGAGTAATAATGATACTTTGGTGTTGACAGCGTGTACTGGACCAGCATGAGGATCAGGCACTCCTGAAAGCATATATTAGTGAGTGGCGAAAGTTCTTTCAACAGTGCAACTACCTTCCGCTACCTTTCAATCAACTAGAGTCTGCGTTAGCGGGCAAGACTACTACCTCAGTCTCCAAGAAGGTCCAAAATGATGACTCAATAGTTAGAAAGGTGAGTTTACCAATACTAATTAGTGAGGCATCTTCTTCAGTTGGTGGAATGGTTCCAAAACCCAGATATTACCAGAATTTTGTGTAGGCAAGAGGGAAGACTGTAAAGTGTGTTGCCAGTTTCTGTATTATGTAGAAAGCAGACTCCTTATAAGGATGCATGACTCAGGACGTAGAGCTTCTTTCCTCTGTTTCACATGTCTTTCCAAGCTGGTTCCAAGTTATGAATGAAGGTTTGATCCTGAAAGCCCAATTTTAAATAGAGGAAACATGGAGCAACACAAATGCCCCAGGACGTTAGTTTACAACATTATCAAATAAGTTGGCATCTGTTCAATGGAAAGAATGAGATGCACAGTGTCATTTCATGCCACGGGGGTGGAGGAGACTGCAGTGGGAGCGGGTAAACAAAGTGAAAGATTACAGGGAAATAGTGTTAGGAATGATGACAAAACTGAATTAGACAGGGAGTTTAAAACTAAACGCGGTAGGGGGAGGACTCAGAACACAACTAACTTAAATGTATACTACGCAAACAGTAGAAGTATGAGAAACAAAATGGATGATATTAGGGCCTTGGTATGTACCGAAAAAATCGATATAATTGCATTCACTGAAACATGGATCAACCTAGACACATGTGAGTTACCAGTCGAATACCAAATTGCGGGTTACAAACTTTTCCATACCGATAGGCAGACCAGGAAAGGAGGCGGAGTAGCAATCTATGTTCGGGATAATCTGAAATGTGAAATAAATAAGGAAATAAAAACTGACCGGAATACAGAAACAATTTGGATAGAATTAATCGACGGTAGAGAAAAATTAATCACAGGAGTAATATATAGACCTCCCAATCTTGATAGAGTCAAAGAGCGACTTATCTGGGATGAAATGCGCAGGGCTTCCATACACAACAAAGTCTGTATAGTAGGCGACTTTAACCTTGGCCAAATAGATTGGACTGACCTTACAGGTAACTCAGAATCAGAAGATTTTCTCGAGACTATCCAGGACTGTTTTCTAAGTCAACATATAACTGAACCCACGCGGGGTAATAATATACTCGATTTAGTTCTGTCAAACAGAGAAAACCTCATTAGCAGGGTCGAGGTAGGGAACGAATTTGCAAGCAGCGATCACAAAGAAATTAGATTCCAGTTAGACTTTCAGGGCAGACGTAAGGAAAATCCCACTAAAGTACCAGATTTCAGAAGGGCGAACTTTGACAGTTTAAAGAGGCAGCTGAGAGAGGGGGTGTCGCGCTTGGCCGTGAACCTGTCAGATGACACTGACCTGATAACGAGATCTGAGATTGCCGAGTTCCACAACAATTTAAATAGTGAGTTACTTAATGCACAAAGGCAGAACATACCATACAAAAAACTCAGATCAGACAACAATGACCCTAAATGGATTAATAATTATCTAAGGAACATCATTGGCCAAAGGAAGGCTATAGGTAGAAGGATAAATCGTGGCGAAATTCACCTCCGGGACTATTATAGGGTACTGGCGAGTAGGGTTAAAACCGAGATAAGGAAAGCAAAGAGGAATAATGAGGTAAGGATAGCAAGGGAGGCGAAGACAAACCCCAAAGGATTCTACCAAATGTATCAAACTAAAACACGAGAAACGATTGGACCAATACGGTCAGACACCGGCGAGCTCACTGATAACGACAGAGAAATGAGCAATAATTTGAATAAATATTTTTCAACAGTTTTCACCACCGAAAATTTAAACATGATACCCGAGGCACCGACTCTATTCAGAGATAGTGAAGAAAACAAATTAAGTGAGATAGTAGTGACTAGCAACGATGTTAGTAAGCAAATAGACAAACTAAAGCCTAATAAGTCACCTGGTCCCGATGAGATATTTGCCAGAGTATTAAAGGAATGTAAGGAAGAGCTTAGTATGCCCTTAGCAAAGTTGTTTAACATGTCCTTAAAAACAGGTGTAGTACCAGAATCCTGGAGGATAGCGAATGTAATACCGATTTTCAAGAAGGGGGATAGATCACTATCCTCTAACTACCGCCCAATCAGTTTAACATCAATAGTAGGCAAATTACTGGAAGCAATCATCTCAAACTCTATTCGAAATCACCTGGAGAAGCACAGATTGATCAATGATTCCCAGCATGGCTTCACAAGCGGACGCTCTTGCCTAACTAATCTATTAACATTCTTTTCATCAGTTTTCGAATCGGTGGACGAGGGGCACAATTATGATGTGGTATATCTCGACTTTAGCAAAGCCTTCGACAGAGTCCCCCACGAAAGACTAATTAGAAAGGTAGAAGCACATGGCATCAAAGGTGACATCCTTAAATGGATTAGGGCGTGGTTACAGGACAGGAAACAGCGAGTGAGCATTAACGGCACTAAGTCCCATTGGAGCAACGTCACAAGTGGTGTTCCCCAAGGCTCAGTACTTGGACCATTATTATTTATTATATACATAAACGACATAGATATCGGCATAGACAGCAACATAAGTAAATTTGCTGATGACACTAAAATAGGACGTGTTATTAAATCTGACGAGGACTCGGCAAAACTACAGGAAGATCTAAACAAATTTTTCGAATGGTCTGAAAAATGGCAGATGAAATTCAACGTCGACAAATGTAAAGTACTCAGTATAGGAGATGTAAACAGGGAAACCAGATACCAGATGAACAACGATGCCATAGAGAAATCCGACTGCGAGAGAGATTTAGGAGTAATGATAAGTAGGAACCTTAAACCAAGTAAACAATGTGTTTTTGCTCGTAACAAGGCTAATAAAGTACTTGGGTTCATACAAAGGAGTGTTAGTTACAAGACTAGAGAGGTCATCCTACAACTGTATCTTGCTCTTGTGAGACCACACCTGGACTACGCAGTTCAGTTCTGGTCACCGTATTACAGAATGGATATAGAATCCTTGGAAAGAATTCAGAGGAGAATGACAAGACTAATCCCGGGCATTAGGAACCTTGAATATAGAGACAGGCTAAAGCATCTTAATTTGCACTCCCTCGAGAGACGTAGAGCGAGGGGCGACCTGATAGAGGTGTATAAGTGGAAGGCTGGGCTAAACAAAGGGGACATTACAAAGGTACTCAAACTATCCAACCAGGAGTGAACTCGTAACAATGGTTTTAAATTAGATAAATTTAGATTTAGGCGTGAAATCGGTAAACACTGGTTTGGAAACAGAGTAGTGGATGAATGGAACAAGTTACCAAATATCATCATTAACTCGAATACGCTGAATAGCTTTAAACATAGGTTGGATGCTTATATGAGCAATAGGGGTTGGGTGTAAACGGGACTGCCCAGTATGGGCCAATAGGCCCGCTGCAGTTTCCTCCATTCTTATGTTCTTATGTTCTTACCTCCCATGTATTAAGGGCAAACTTAAGACACTATTGGGTGTTGGTTGTGAAAGTGGAGTTGGGCAATCTTTGGATTACCTCTAGTTGCATATTTCAAAATGATATACTAGGTAAACTATGCAATTTTTAGCATGAATATAAATGGATTACTCCTCAATGTTTCTGTCTCGAAAGAGAATTTTTTAAGATCAAACCCCATCCCTTCCATTATTATTTGGAGGGTGGGTTTATTTTATAAGCTCCCACTGTTTTCGGAGGAAATATCAGGCTGTTTTTATGTAAGTAATGTTGATGATCATTGAATTGATCAAGTAATTCAGATGTGAAATTTTGTTATTTTGTACTTTTCTTTTCCAGTTAATGCTGGATAGTTGGAATGCAAGCATCTTCAGCAACATTAAGCAACGGTTACAAGACTCGGCCATGAAACTGGTTCATGCTGAGAGGAATGGAGAAGCGTTTGACTCTCAATTAGTCATTGGTGTCAGAGAGTCTTATGTAAACCTTTGTTCCAATTCTGGCGATAAATTGCAAATTTATAGAGAAAATTTTGAAAAGGTAACGAATTTACAGATTTTGCTTTTCTCTCTCTTCATAATCTTATGATTGTGATGTAAATCTACAACCAGTAGAAACATACATACAGTATATTTAATACATCAGTAGAGTTAGTTATCCCTATGCCTTTTTTATCATGTTACTGTGTCTCTCATTTATTGACATTCGAGTCAATAGTAGGTACAGTAGTAGGCAGCTACCAAACAGGGAGGTACTACTGCCTGGGAAGATATTGGAAGCATAATGTGTTGTCTAATGGTAGACCCTGCTGCTATATGGCTTCACAAAAATTGTGACCAAGTCCCAGGTTGCTGATCTGACTTTCTGCTTCATTTACACACAATTGCAGGGTCTCAATTGTTTCTCTTACTTTAACACAACATACTGTATACCGTAATACAGTACTGTATATTGCTTCTCACTTTTGATCTTTTTTCATTTGGTTATTTCTTTGTTATTATTATTATTATTATTACAGTGTTATCATCATCATCATCATCATCATCATCATCATTAATTTATTATTTTATTTAAAAAATTTTATTTTTTATTATAAATTTTATTTACTATGAATTATTATTACTTTTATTATTATTATTATTATTATTATTATTATTATTATTATTATTGTTAATATTACATTTTCACCCCCAGGCCCCGATGTGGGTCAATGACCTGTGCCCGAGTGAGCTAATCCCCGTAAAAAAAATGCATTTTTATTTTTGTCACTTTCATTCCTTAAAGTGCTGAAGATTTACTAATACAGTAGAACGGTGATATAACACGAGGTAGGTTCTAAGAGAGGTTGCTTTAAACCGAATTCGCGCTGAATCGAAGTGTTGCTTCAATGGAATAATTTAGTTTGGTACTAGAGAGAAACACAAAATACTAAAAAAGACTTTTATTAACTAGTAAATATGAGAAAAATATATGGTGTAATGATATATATGCAGCAAGCACTCCCTGCAGTCGAGTTGAGAGCTGGATGGTACTGATACTGCGTAGTACTGTCTGCTGCCTCGGGCCACTGGCCCTCCCCGACTGAGAGTATACACCCAGATGCACCTCAGCTCATCTCCTAGATTAAACAAAACATTGTTTTTGTACAGGCTGTAGTATTATGCTAAAACAAACACTTGTAAATCAACACAGCTAAAATTACTGGATGCGAAATGGTCTGTTTACTAGTGATCAGCTGATGGGGGAGGGTGGTGGCGCTGGTGCCGCGCTCCACCCGCCTCTCGTCTGACTCACTTTCCTCTCAACTTATATTTTAATTACTTTATGCTATCAAAAATAGGTTTTCAATCACCTTTAGTTAGGCAATTTATCCTCTGAAGATGCAGAGCCCAACTCGACCAGCTCAACATCCACATCACTGTCTAGTGGTGTGGCTGTTGACACATCTGACATGCGGGAAGCACCGGATGACGGCCGTGTCTGCCCAGACGTAGATGGGCCAGCTACCTCAGGAGCTGAAGGAATGGAAAACATTCATTAAATTATTGAAATTCTGCCACATTATTATTACATGTCGTATAACCAGAATTTAATGTCTATTTTTCCAATCAATAAACATTCAGTTTCATATCAAACTCACCTGATGAGGATATTGGACAGAAGAATGAGGTGATTTTCTTCTATTGCTGGGCCATAATCAGTTGATCTAGCAGCTGAGAGTACGGAGATGCAGCCTGATTCAACGCCTGCACCACTTGCATATTGCATTCCATATCAGGGTCATGTTGCAGTGCAGACTGGGTGGCAGAATTGACGTGCTGCATAAACTCCCTCAGCTTAGGAATTGTCAGTTCCTTCCCCACTGTTTGGGGTTCATCTGTCACTTCCTCTTCTTCTTTGTGTTTTTTTGCCATTTCCACCATCTCCAAGACTTCTTCAGAAGTGAGAGGATCCTCCATGCTAACAAGCAGTTCAGTCACATCCTCTTCTTGGATGGTGATGGTTGATACATGTGGTAGGAGATAGTGTCACACAGTATGTCCGTTCACTAGAGCGTCAGCACGAGAACTGAGAATGCTTGAGGGTGTGAGAGAGTGGCGGACAGCCGTGAAGCGTGTCCAGAGATGCGTCTGGTGGGAAACATTAGGCGCGAAATTTAAAATATGTTGCGCCAGATTGACTCACGCAAAATAGGAAAGATTCACTTTAAATTTAATCATTGACCTTAATTGTGGGTGTCGCTTTAAATCAATAATCTTAAATTGATTCGCTTTAAATCGACGTTCTACTATACAGTACAGTGACCCCTCGGTTAACAAACTCAATCCGTTCCAGAAGGTCGTTCGTTAACCGAAACCATTGTTTCAATGGGTTTTTGGGTAATTGGTTCCAGCTCACCGAAAATTTCCTAAATTCAACAAAAATGGTAGAAAAGTTCACTTACTTTGAGGTGTGTTTGTAGAAGGCTCCTGGATGATGATGATGGGATTTAGAATGGGGGTGGAGGAGAAGGAAGAAGAGAAGGCATTGGGGTGGAAGAGAAGTCACCCCATGGCGCCATTTCACCCATAAAATTTTAGCTCTCTTGGTGTAATTCAAGATTATTTTCTTTAAATCAACACTGCACTGCATTATATATTGTCAATATGTAAAATATATTTCAAAATGACCAATAATTTGCTTGGAAACACAGAAAAAAAGTGTTTAGTTGAAGAGAGTCTCAAGCAAGATGTTACCTCCAGTGAAAACAGAGAGAGACTAACGCCTGTTTGCTGTGTTAAGAGGCTGGATGCCGCGCATTAAACTAGTCACTTTACCTTCAATTATGTTCAATAATCGTTAAAATGACTAAAAAATTGAATATTAAACTTTTAAAATTATTGAATAGTATAAACTTCTTGATATTTACTAAAATAGTAAGGAATTTAAGCCCTAGAACCGATTAATGTATTGGCGGACTGATACTAAAGCTGGTTGCCCGGTCAGTGCAAGCGAAAACATGTTGAGGTCGGTTCGTAAGAAATTCGTTAACCGAATTTTTGTTCGTTAACCGAATTGAAGATCCTTATGGAAGGCAGTTCGTTAACCGAAATTTCGTTAACCGAGGCGTTCGTTAAACGAGGGGTCACTGTACTGTGCTACAGGGCTGGAACTTCTGATGAAGAATTCTGTGTGTAGCTTGAAGAATCAGACAAATGTATAAAACAATTGTTATGACCAAAGTACTTTGAGAAATGAGTTTGTGACAGGAATTTGGAATTGGAGCACTAATTGTAGTTTGGGGTTAAAATAGATTAAGCAAAGCAAGTAAATATGGAAAGAGTAAAATGAAGTAAAATAATGAAGGAAAACAGCAATACCCTGTACTGCATTTTAGTGATAGTTATGTGCTGAAGAAGGCATGGCAGTGCCAGTAGAAGTATACCAAAGAGACAAACTGTGTCACTTTAACCAACATGTTGACATGTCCTTGCAAAATTGAGGCCAGCCAGTTATTACAGTGCCAGCAACTAATATATGATTACTAATGACTGCTGTCTCTCCCTCAGGCATATATAGAAGCAACTAAATCATTTTATCGAGTCAAAGCGCCACAGTACCTAGAGGCCAATGGTGTACAAAACTACATGAAATATGCAGAGCTTAAGTTGAGAGAAGAAGAACAACGAGGAGACAAATACTTAGAGTCATTTAGTGGATCATTACAGAATGTAAGTTTATTGTCTGATTATAGTTTCAGTCAATTTGTAACTTTATTTTTTATTTTTTGCAAATTTCTGGGTACAGTACAGGTACTTTTAAAGATAGGCAAGGTGATTGTGCTAAGATCTTGAAAGTTAGAATGTAAACCTGCAGGCATGGCAGAGTTTACTAGAAAGTGCAGGTCAGTCTTCCATGAATACATTTATAGCAGATTTAAACCAGTCAATGTGCTTCCAAGAGTTTTGTCTCTGCACATCATGTAACATTAATGGTATTTCATAGGCATATGAGTAGTGTCCATATGTCTGATTAGGGTCCATGTTGGGAATTTTCCAAATTCTTCTCTTACTTTACTACCAGTTTAAGCTTGCCATCCAACTGTAAGAATATTGATTGTAATCTTAATATAAAATTCACTCTTAAAATTTTTCCCCAGTTCTTTGGACAGAACATGAAGTGTGTTACTAAAATATTGTATTAAGAGATGTGTGGTAACTATGGATAGAAGTTGTATAACAATTGCATATATTCCAAGTAGTTAGCAAAATTTATACTCTATATATAACTACCATTCTTTTATATATTTTCTTGTCTTGTACTTTCAGCTAAACGAATGTTGTGTTGAAGTGTTGGTGACGACTTTCCGTGACACCATCTTGGCAGAGTGTTCACAGATGATCAAGAACAATGAGACAGATAGTCAGTATCTGCCAGTGAAGTGTTTGAATGTTAACATTTAGATTTTCATGGGTGTTCAAGAGATGAATTAGTTTGCAGAAAAAAATTATATACTATACACTGCATTTATGATTACATTGCAAACTGATGTGTAATTTTACATGCATTTCCCTTTGGAGGAGTTGTCTGTCTCAAATTATGATCCTTTATCAGCTGTTTCTACATTTTTGTACTTGTTGGTCTTGAACAGTCATAATTAGTGAATTAGTAGAGGATTAATGTGAGCATGTGAAGGATTATCTCTAGCTTGAATATTAAACACCATAGAGCACATTAAACTTGTATTAAATGATATACCTTAAGTATGGTATAAACCTTTGATTACAAATTTAGTTTATTATACTGTAACTATTATTACAAAATTTAGTAGTGTAAGTAAATAAAAAAAGTTAAACAACAATGATTTTTTTCAGCATATTACAGTTGTATCTTTGTTGTGCAGCCAACTGCATAATGAGATTAAACCTTTTTTCTTCAATATTAAAAGTAAATGATTATTATAATGTTAGATTTACATAGAAAGAAATTTAAACTCATATTTTTGCAGGTTATTTATAGCAAACAGGATTAGAAAAGAGAGAATTTTCCTCATGGGAGACAATACTGTACGTGATGGTACTGACTGATCGAGAGAAGGAAGTTTGGAAACGTTTGTATGGGAGTGAGAGGTGGCTGGAAGTACTCATTTCTGCATTGCCTTACAGAATTGCAGCTTATGTTCAAGTTAATGGATCGTGTACCAGATGGAATACAGCCTATGCTGAATGCACTAGAGGAACACATCGTTTCAGCTGGCCTGGCAGACATGGTGGCAGCTGCAGACACTATAACACAAGTGAGCATTATGATTTATGTACAGTATAAGTGTTTGAAGGTGTATTTTTGAGTTGTGGATATATTACTTGTCTCCTGACTCCCTGAAAGACATCAATCATTTTAGATTTTACTGATCACTAATTCTTCATAAAAGTTCTGAAAGTTGAAACCATATGTGGGTTGTGAAACTCCCCCCCCCAACTAAAGATGGTTGATATCCTTAGAGGTGGAGATAACAGGGCTCAACAGTTGTACAGTATAGAGAATGAACCTTTGCATCATGTACTTTAATTTTTAACTGTAGATGTATCCCAATTTTTTCCAGGTGACCCAAAAGAATCATTTGGTTTCATTATGGTGATATTTGTGTTTAAAGAAAAAAAAAAAAGGAACATTCTGGGTACTGTATAAAATTTATCAGATTTTTACAGAATATCTCTGGGCTGGTCAGAGACAGTCTGACTGTTCTGAGTTTCTGAGACATTGATAGCTCAACTGTAGACATTATATTTAACTGCATTTTTTTATTGTAGTTATAACACCCTATCATTTCCTGTGGTAATTATATTTTTATACTGGTGAGTTATTTCTGTATTTTGCAGATTAAGCATTAGAAATTACATTCTTCTCCAATACAGTAAAGCCTCCGATAACAACGGTTCGACCAACAACTTTTCATATTTAGGACCAAATTCAATTTATGTCCTTATTTCATTCGTATTTACAACCAAAATATACCGTAATACAAATAAAATAAAATAATATTTTCATATAAATAATAATTAAATCCCGTTATGTATTATAAAAAAAATTACTGTAAAAAATGAAGAGCGCCATGCGCAAAAAAACTGCCTGGCTAATGAGTGGTAATGCGCATCGCCAGTAAACAACAGTCGGAGCTTGGCGGTCCATTTGTTTTCACGCATCTGAACAGGAACAGGAGAAATACTTTCTGAGGTTTCTTACAGCATTTTTGCATCCCTATTCGACATGAGCAAGAGAGCAAGTGATGGTAGAGTTGTTTCAAAACCTAATAGAAGGTGTATAAGCTTAGCCGAGAAACTAGATGTGTTAAAACCATATGAAAAAGGTGAGAGGTCTGTGGATATTATATGGAGCAAGCAATGAACATATTTTCTGAAGTGGATCCATTAGCAGAACAAAACATTAAAATTTAAATAAACGCAAATGACCTCTACGTAAAGATGTATAATGAGAAAAAAAGCAGCTGTGCAAGGTTCTTTCGACAGCTTTATTATTCGAAGGCCTAAATATCAACTTCAGCTACACCATCAAATTCAGCATCATAAGCAGCTTCAACAACAACTTCAGGTTCAGTAACAGTTTCAGCAACAGCTTTATGGAAAGCTACAGCTTCAGCCAAAGTTGAACCTGATGACTTCGTCATCTAAGTAAAAACTCGCACAATATTCGTTGTCTGTCCTTATGTTTTAGACTTTACCACCATTGGCAAGTAGGATTTTTGTTTTACATTCGTTAATATTATTTAAAACATATATGAACAGTAAATAAGTGTTGCTTTCATATTCATATGTAGAGAAATGACGATATGTTTTTACTTGTAATCACTTAGGTACTGTTCATTCGTTGGCGTTCCCAATCGTCTCGCTTTATTTATTTACCATTAGTGGTTAGCGACTTCTAGTGTTCCATTTATTAACATTAAATAACATTACTTAAAACATACATACAGGTATTCAATTTTTTTTAAATTAAGTTCACTACAGCTACAACCAGGGTTTTACAGTGGAGTATGCTATAACGAATCTAATTGGTTCTAGAACCTCGTTCGTTATAGCATTCGTTCGTTATAGGATTAATCCATTCCAGGCCCCCAAATACAACCGCTTAACACAGAAAAATTTCTGTGGAAAATGTAAAAAATACAGTACTTTATCTTACCTTAGTGTTATTCAGCATGCAGGTACCCCTAAACACTGGCACAGCGCTATCACTTGCACTGGGAGTCTTGGCTTTAAGGTACTCAAACAATTGTTTGGCCTTCTCACAAATTATAGCTTCACTAATGCTATCACCTGCCATTTCTTTCTCCTTTATCCACACTAAGAGTAAATTTTCCATCTCTTCAATCACATTACACCTTGCTTTGCTAAGTCTAGAGATTCCCTTAGCCACTTGCACAGTTTTTAACTCCTCTTTATTCTTCAAAATCGTACATATAGTCTATTTAGCCATCCCATATTCATCACTAAGTTTCGCAATGCTTCTTCCATTCTCACGTTTCTTTATAATTTCTTTCTTAATTTCAAGGGTTATTAGCTTTCTCACTCGCTTTGGACGATTCATTGTTACAATTGTATACTTGTATAACAAAATAGTTATACAATTAACGCGAATTTCCACATCAAAAGACGAAATTTCAACAATAACAGTGGTGCACTGGCTACACAATGAGACAAAGATGGCGCATCATGCTCTTGTTGTGAGCCGCGGTACAACAATATTCATGCGCCAGACGAAATAGTCCCGTATTCATCCGCGTTCGTTGTAGGAGTTGCGTTCGTTATAGCATTCTCAATTTTATAGGTAAAACCGTTCGTTATAGGAATATTCGTAGTAGGATCCGTTTCTTATGTAGAACCATTGTCACTCACGAAAACAATGCCGTCTTGTCTCCTCGTGTGTGTTTTAATATTCTATGTGTTATTAATGAATTGCATTGTTCATTTCACATATATAAGCATTAATTCAATCAAATACATATTCAGTAATAAACAATAATGAATCTTTTGTACATATTCTGAAGATAAATGACTATGTTTCCTTGAGTGCACACGTATACATTGGCGTTCCACCATCAGTCTCACTTTTTCTTTAATATCAGTGGTTACTTCTACTGTACATGAAATAACATTAATGAAAACATACATATTTTTTACATTAATTTTACTACAACAACAACCGGGGTCTTATTTTCTTCAGTTTCAGGTGGATAACTGACATTATGGGTGTAAACACTGACAGCAATGCCGTCTCTTATCCTCTTGTGTGTTTTAATATTCTACGTATTATTAATGAATTGTATTGTTCATTTCGCATATATAAAGATTAATTCGATCAAATACATAAACAATAATGAATCTTTTGTACATATTCTTAAAAAGATAAATGGCACGGTATCTTTAAATGTGCACGTATATGTTGGCGTTCCCAATCCATTATTAACATTTAATAACATTAGTTAAAACATATATATTAATTTTTTTACATTAATTTTACTACAGCTACAACCAGGGTCTTATTTTCTTCATTTTCTCGTGTAGAACTATCGTCCCGGACTCCCGGCTGTAAACACAAACAAAAACAATGGCGTCACATCTCCTCTTGTGACCATATTATTATTCATTTATATTGTATAAGGTGCATTCAGAAACATTATTTAAAGAATATAGTTTGCAATTTTCATTAATTGTATTGTTTTGGGGGGAAAAGAGGGTAAAAAGCCACACAAAAGATATGAAAAGGTCACACTTGGGAACATCTCATTATTGCTTTATTTTAATGGTAATTAATGATTTGGTTACGATGATTCACCTTACACTGAAATATTAGAGGACACATTACCGTCGTTATTTAAGGCTTTACTGTACAGTACAGTATATTCAGGACTGTACACTGTTATAATTATCTTCTCATACTTGGGTTTAGTGGCTTAGATGCTTAATTAATAACACACCAAAAAGTTGTGTGTTCATTTTCTATTTGACTGTTTCTTGTTTCCAGGATTCAGAACAATATGTAGAAAAACTTCTAGACCTGTTTCAACGATTTAGTAAATTGGTAACAGAGGCATTTAATGAAGACCCTCGGTTCCTCACTGCAAGAGACAAGGCTTATAAAGAGGTTGTCAACGATACGCAGTCTTCAAATTAGAGTTGCCAAGTAAAACAGTACGTTTTCATGCATTGTTCCATTTTTTAGTTGTGTTTAAAAGATAAACTTTACCCAGATTTATGACATAATATGCCATCAAAGTGTGTCATCCTTTTGACGAGAAAGAATTGTGAATGCCAGGGGGTCTCACCTCATATAGTAACCAAGTCTGTTCATATTATAGTTATGAAAACCTTGCCCACTCAGAATTGGTCCAGAGTCATGGATTGTGTGTCGATTGTTATTGTTTCACAGTGATGCTCCTTGTTGATCAGTCTGTTGTCAGTAGATATACTCCTGCTGCACAACAGGATGCCTAACATGCACAACAGGATGGAACTTCTTTTACACAGCACTGTCATGTGTATCCATATATTTTTGCAACACACACACACACACACACACACACACACACACACACACACACACATTTTACCCTTTTACTAGTCTTTTTCTCTACCATCAAGAACACAGTTTCCAATTAATTAACTTTAGAGTATGTCTCAGCAAGTGAATGGTTTGGGATCATTTCTCAACTGGAGTGGGGGATTGGGTTACCTCCTTGTACACTTGCACTTATGCATTAAGCATTGAATGTATACACCATCATGTGTATTTGCTGACAGTAGAACAACCCTTTAAAGACTAGTATCCTGCCATGGGGATGGGATAACCCCATTAGCTGCTGAATGTTAAGTCTCAGTTGATCAGCACCCATCTGGCATCCTTGAATCATTGTAGGAAAAGGCTTGTATGATTTAAGAACAAATTATATGTACTGAATATACACTATTTATGATACTGTTTATGATAGGCTTATTCCTTTGTCTGTCCACTCAACAAACTCCTTAAACTTACCTTGTATGCTTCCACACATAACAGTAATAAGTTTGCTTATGGTAAATCTCTTTGAGAGATATTGCAGGCTGTTTAAACATCATTTCACTGAATGTTGAGAGAAACAGGACCATGTTGTGTATGTTGAGTGATCCACCTGGTAGTAAAACAGAATGGTGGTACCAGTACTCATTAATTTTTTTATTTCCCTGCAGAAAGGGATTGGCAACAAGACCCAACCTGAATCTAAATGTCCAGAACTGCTTGCAAACTACTGTGATATGCTGCTCAGAAAGACTCCACTTAGCAAAAAGCTTACTGCAGATGAGATTGAGAGCAAATTAAAAGATGTGGTAAGTACTATATTCCTGTACATTATATTTGGCAGGGCTTAGCACTGTTTTGCTCTGTGGTATGTAAGATATACATATAGGATGCTTGTTTGTCTGTTTTCAAGTAGTTTGTGTATTTTATTCTTTATATGTATACTGTATACCAAATCAAAGTGTTTTTTGTCAGTACTCTTAACTCCCATATTTTTGCAAACGTTCTCTTGTCTTCTTAAGCATAATTTAAATAGAGAAGAGAGTTGCCATATATGAGGTCTGTCCAAAAAAGAAACCGAACTTTTTAAATAGCATGCCAACGAGCCGGCGCAGCGTGCTCGTGATGGGAGTGCTGTGTATTGGTGACCTGACCAATTAGTCATCGAGTTACACGCGCTAGAGTGAACGTTTGTTTAGTGCACTTAGTGATTTGTTGCAAGTTGAACAATGAAGGATCTTGAAGAGCAACGTGTTTGCGTGAAATTCTGTTTCAAATTGGGAAAAACTTTAAGGGAGACTTTTCAAATGTTGCAACAGGCTTATGGGGAGGGTTATTTGAGCCGTACACAATGTCACGTGTGGTACCAGCATTTTAAAAGGGGGAAGAACATCCACCAAAGACGATCCCAAATCTGGACGTCAGAGTCGCTCAAATGTGGAGGTGATGTTGATTGTCTTTTTTGATTGGAATGGAGTCGTTCATCATGAGTTTGTTCCACGTGGTCAGACAGTCAATAAAGAGCTTTACGTGGAGGTCCTGAAGCTTTGAGGGAGGCAATGCAGAGGAAGAGGCCTGGACAAACAAGACCTGGATGCTGCACCATGACAATGCACCTGGTCACGCGTCGCTCCTTATCCGTGACTTTTTGGCGAAGTTCGAGGCGACTATCATCCTCCAGCCACCCTACTCTCCGGATTTGGCTCCTGTGGACTTTTTTTGTTCCCAAAGTTGAAATCCACCCTGAAAGGTCGCCGATTTCGGACGATAGAAGAGATAGAAGAAAATTTGCTCCGTGACTTGCGCACCATCTCTCAAAACGCGTTCCAGAACTGGAAAAAACTTTGGGAGCTGTGTATCAACAGTGGAGGGGAGTACTTTGAAGGAGACAAGTCTGATTAAGTTGTAAGTAAAGCAATAAATTTTTTTTTTTTAAAAGTTTGGTTACTTTTTGAACAGACCTCATATTAGCTTACTCTTGTTGGTAGTTTGCATATACTGTACTTTTAATTTATTTGTGAACACGGTAGCACTGGGAAGGGAGGAGCCACAATTTATCATCCATAAGATGTTGGGGCCTTAGAGTTCTTTGAGACTCATAATCTTTGTAATTTACTCCCCAGTTGCTGGTGCTAAAGTATGTGAGCAACAAGGATGTCTTCATGCGGTACCACAAGGCGCATCTTACGCGCCGTCTCATCCTCGACACCTCAGCTGACTCAGAGAAAGAGGAGAATATGGTAGAATGGTAGGTAAAAGGAATATGATGATGTTATAGGATATAGGGGTGAGTCACAATATGATAGGGTGATGGGTCAGACTCATGAACAAAGATGTTAGGGGATAGTGAGTCATTAGGAAGACTCATGTTTGGTGGGGTAGAATGTGGTAGTATGGTTGGTAGTGAGTGAGGAATGTACAGCAAATAAGTCGTATTCTGTGTGAATGGGTAAAAAGGATGCTATAGAGTGATATATGGGGGAGGACATGCTGCTAATGACTGCTGGGTTATGTAAAGCAATAGGGAGAAACCAGATGGATATTTTGGGCCTTATTGTGGAAAAGGTATCAAAGTAGAATATCTGTTACAGGGGTAAGAATAAAAGAACGACAGCATATGAAAGGAAAATATGTATGTGTAATTGTGTATGATTCCACCCACCTTACATTATACAGTAGTTGAAAGTCAAAATGCTGTAACATGATATTATTTACAGACTGCATTATAATTTAGAGTTCATGAATGAAAAAATTACACATACTGTATGGTATTTGTATTCTACACAGGTTGCGAGAGGTGGGCATGCCTGCAGACTATGTCAATAAGCTGGCAAGAATGTTTCAAGATATTAAAGTGTCCGAAGATCTCAATCAGCAGTTTAAGGAAACCATTAGAACTACTACCAAGTCTAGTGTAGCAGGTAAGGATTTTACAGCTGCTGTTGAACAAAGTTTCATCCTTTCCATATGGTCTTTCTTTTCCAGGTAAGCAAGTGATGATTGCTTCACTTAAATGACAGCCAAACATATGTGTAGTAATCTTCAAGAGGTGTCCCAGTGTTCTTGAAAAGAGGTCCATCTTAGTCCCTAGACCTTTCCCCTCTATATTTTGGTCTACATGGTCACCTTAAATTTGTGTAGTAAAAAAATTACCCAAGAAGCTTAGAAGACACGAAGGAGACAATTACGGGTGAATGTGCTAAAATTTATATTCCCATGTTAGGAGGGATTCAGTTATCTTTGCAAAAAAGAGTTGTAAATATTATACGTGTAAGTGATTCTCATTTTGAATAATAGAAATACTGTAGATTTATTACGTTAACATAGAAATGCAGTACTGCACCTGTACATAAATATTTATAAATTTCTACAGGTCTTGACTTTTACTGCACCATTTTACATTTATATGAGTCCTCCAATCCTAGTACAGTAATATTAGAAAAGAGGATTTCAGGGTTACTTTTATTTTTTTCTTCAGAATTTGCAGTAGTGTCTGGTGGGGGATCACTTCAAAACCTCCCACCTTATTGTATGTGGGATTTTTATTTTATAGTTTTATTCGTTTATGCTGTGATCCACCCCATATTAGGTAGGAGAGAAGTAAAGATAAAAACCGTGATAGATTGGTAAATAGATGTTTTACTTTATAATAGAATGGTAGACATATGCATATAAGAGCCAAATACTGATATTGTTGGTGTTTAAGTGGGGGTTATTTGTTATCCACGTTGAAAGAATTGGAGGCCCAATGAGGAAAGGAGTGTGAGTAGGAAAGAGACCTCCACTATCAAAAGGGAGGAAGAGGATGTTCATGTATGTGGCATTTAAAGAATGTTTTGATGACAAGTGGTGGAGTACTGATGGTAAGGTGGAGTACTGGGAAGAGCATCTGGGTACAGTAAGGCTTGGGCTGGTACATAGATTGTTGGCAATTCCACACATGGATAATCAAAGTTCTGTTAATGGAACAGTTTAACAATTGGATATAGTATGAATGTTAAGATATGTGAATTTGCATTTACAGTAAATACTATGTAATCATTCTTTGTTTACCATTTTTTACAGATAATCTTAACATAAAAATATTGAATGCGGGAGCATGGGCGAGAGGTAGTGATCGAGTAGCAGTCAGCTTACCCATGGAGCTGGAGGACTTCATCCCAGAGGTTGAAGACTTCTATCGAAAGAAACACTCAGGCCGTAAACTTCAGTGGCATCATCACATGTCCAATGGCACAGTAGGTCCCCCCTCCCCCCCCACCAAACTTTCCTGTTTAGAATTTTAGCTATGTTTAATCATTTATTGTATGCAAAAATTTTTGTGTTATTAATAGTAAAGGTGATTCTAGTAAATTATTGCACCCAATTCAGTTCTCATCAGTGGCATTTCCGGAACCTCAAGGATTGAAAGGAGGATGGGGAACAAAAGTAATCAATGCAATAAGAGCCACCTGGCTTAAGGACTTGTGCAATGAATGGAACATTGATCTTGAAATAGTATTCTTTAGCTGTGCCCATAATTAACCAGGCAACTTGAATACCCTCTCTCCTCATAGAATTTGTGAATTAGTTAGTTGTAGCAAAATTTCAAATTAGCAGATTCACCCTGAAATTGAAAATAGCTAACAGTAGCTTTGGCACAAAATAAACTGATGAGAGAGACAAGGTTCTGTAAGGTCTGCAGCTAGAGGGCAACTGTTATAACTAATACCCTTATTGGAGGCCAACAGTGTGATGGGGAAGAAAGATCTCCCAGGCTACAAGCTCCAAAAGACTATGATTTCAGGATCAAAACTTCATATATGGACTAATCTATAAAAATATAGATTAACCTTCAGAGATAAAGTTCTATTTAGGAAGTTAAGCTGATAAATAAATAAATAAAATTACTCATTATGGGGGTATATTGACACAGGTATTTGGATAGCACAAATAAGAATCCGTGAAGACTTTGGTGCAATGACTGTGCAGACAATAAGGTTAGGTTTAGCTTGGGAATAAATTTGATAATGTAGTTTGGATGCTGCAATGGTGTGTTTTAACTATTAAAAAGTATGCATTTTCTAGTGTTTGTGTTTCTTGAAATATATATGAGAGAGAGATTACCGTACAATCGTACATGTAGATTGATATGGACCGAGTTGCTGAAAATTTTGGTTGGGCTGCTAGCACTAACAGAACTAAATTGCCAAAAAAGAGAATGCAGTTACATATGTTTCAGTAATTAATACCAGAATATTTTTCATATAACATTAACTCTTCCTTTTTCTCATTCTCTACAGATCACATTCTCTAACAACATGGGAAGATTTGACTTGGATGTCACCACTTTTCAAATGGCTGTCATGTTTGCATGGAATCAGAGGACGCACGACAAGATTTCTTTCGATAATCTTCGTCTTGCCACTGAGCTGCCCGATCCTGAGTTGCGACGGACATTATGGGTAGATAACTTCTGTTGATGTTGGATAAGAAGTTCTCTTTCCTCTGTTATTATTGAATAAGAAGTATGTTACAGTTAGCAGGGCACAAAGGGGACAGCAAAAATATGATGATTATTTATGAGTGAAGCAGTAGTGAGAGATTAAGTGGAAGGCAGGTAATAAGCAGAAAGCTGTAGAATTTAAGAAGGTGTTTGATACAAAAATAGAGGAACATTTGTGGAAGTTTACTGCTTTGTTTACATATCAAAAGAAACACAAGATGAAGAACAAGGTTAAAGATTTTCAGACTTTGACATAAAAGTTTTTACGAATAAAAGAAATACAGGAAAGGAATAAAAAGACAAAATATGCCGTAGAAACAGACTAAATTTCCCTTCCACCCTAAAAACTGTTTGATGAGTGATATATGTCATTAAAGGGCAATAGAGACTGAGTGGATACAGTGCTTACTTCCTCTTTTAAGGGTTAAGTGTTTGATCCTAGGACATCTCAAATCCATCCAGTTGTAAAGAGGTACCAAACTTTACAGTTGGGGAAATGAAAGTGGTTGAGTGGCCCACCTCACGTTAGAACCAACACTCCTTGGGGTGAGGCCTCTTTTTTCCTAATGCAAAATACTGCAGGTGGACTAAGGTACTGTGCCAGTGAGACTATGGTATATTGACTAGTTTGGACTTGAAAGGTATAGTAAACATTGTTTACAAAACTCACAAAATGACAAACACAAACATAATACTGTACAATAAATTAGTGTACTAATCACCTGACAATACTAAGGACTGTTATGATTTCTAGCAGTACTCGTAATCCCTGATGTGTAATAATAGGGATGTAACAAAGCTGTTTGTAGTACGTACATATGTCATCCAGAGGAGAGCTAGTGTATATGGATGTTCATTCATTGAAATGTTGCAAGGAACTGAATCAAAGATGGCAGATTGGTTCTGAAATAAGATGTCAGAACCATTACCTTGGAGAGAAGTGTGCTGATTGGTCAAACACAGCTATAATAGTGCCTTCTTTTCCCAGAGACAACAGAGGGAATGCAATTAGGGAATGGGGATGAATAATATAGTCTTCAGGTTGATAAATATTTTGAACTTGGATGAATGGATTGATGAATAATCAAATTTGAAGTAGAATTGTCTTGAATGGGCATTTCAAGGTTATTAGTAAGTATACAGTACATGGTGTTACAGTGGATACATACTCCTGAAGTAGAATTGAAGGGAAATAATTGTAATTTGCCTAAGCTTGTGAAGTTAAATATATGGTATAAGATGGTGATTCGTATTTGTTCTAAAAGGTGAATAATGTCAAAATGTACATATGCTAGGATGAACATTGTGCCAGCAGCCCACCAGCTGTAAGTGATGTTGGTAGAGGGAGATCCTTTGTGAACTTCCTTGTCTGACATACTATGAGCTGTATTGAGTCCTTGTTTTCTCATCTTCTCACTTCTCTTTCTTCACCAGTCGTTGGTAGCATTCCCCAAGATGAAGCGGCAGGTACTCAGTATGTCTGGGGAGGTGACATCTCCGAAGGACTTCACTGAGAACACCCTCTTCTGGGTTAACCAGGAATTTGCCCCTATGTGAGTATGACTTGGCTGAGTTTTAAGTTTTTATAAATTTTCCATTATTGTATTATGTACTGTGTATGGTATTTGTTATAAATTAAATATAAATGATTGTAATAATAACTATTCATCAAAAGTTGAACATACATTATTGAGTATGTTCTTGAGTGTGCTTAACCTTCTGGTGAAAATTTGGAATACCCAGTACATATTTGGACACCTGTCCTGAAAATACATATGAAGTACACAAATAATTTTTTGGAAAACAAATTGATTAAAACAGTTGAATCTCATTTTTATGCTTTAATTGCCAAATACGGTACAATACTTTATTAACCCTTAGGCCCCGGGTGACATTCCAGAACGTCCGCCTATTTTCCCGCCATTTATTTATTTTTTATTTTTTATTTTATTTTATTTATTTTTTTTGAAATGTTGATTTATCAATTTAACCCCGTGTGGGGGGTACTGCCAGCAGCACCCTAACCCAGGGCTTAAGGGTTAAAAAGAAAAAATAATCACTTGATTTTTCTTCTACTTATCATGAATAAAACCATTGATATGCTTACTATTCCCTTTCCTTCATTACTGATCGACTAGATTTTTAACATTTACATCATGATACCTTACATGGTCAACACCCCACAACATGAGATGAGAATTACACAAAAATTAATGAGTTAATGTTTCCAGATTTAAAGAAGTATATACAGTACTAGAAATAATAAACTGTCCAGTAATAAAACTTGTCTATTGTACAAAACTTTAGTTGAATATTAAAACCAACAGTATACTGTACAATTGACACACCATTAAGGCAAAGTAAACAAACTTAGATGTATTTGTAAATCTGGAGTGATATGTATCTATGAATGACTTAGAGTAAACCCTGAGGATAACGGACAAATGGAGAGGGGGGGGGGAATAGTAGCTAAAGCTGAAAATCCGTTAAAACTGATTGACCAATAATTATTTCGAACTAAATGGGGGAGTTTTGAAATACCAGATATTTTGAAATTGGAGATTTTATTGCAAATTGTTATATAAATTTGAAATAACATATTCCTAGTAACAAATGTTTTACTTTAATCATCCATTAATGCTTAAAGGTATGTACTGTATTTAAAGTCCCTGATTATTGACAAGATAACACTTCTGATATACAGTCGGGTTTCAAAGTCGTGAGGGTTACGTTCTTCCAGTTGGTATTCATGCAGTGACAATAAAAACAGACAACTCCTCGGGGATAGCAGACACCTGTTTGTTGTCTTGGGGGTTTGTCCGATAGGTTTAGAGCGTTTCATTATAACTGGGTTCCGTTATACACTGTACATTGTCCGTTATACTGAAGGGTTTACTGTGCTTGCTTACTCCCATGAGAATTACTGTACAATAGAATGGTGCAAGTAAAATTATTTTCCCTATAATCTTGTAATTTCAGCTTGGAAATGAGGTGCTCCGCATTACAAGGGGGTGAAGTGCCAAATTTAAAAAGAAGAGAAATACGCGTTTAAAGTTTATCAAAGTTCAAACAACCATAACTTTGTTGTTTTTTAAGCTAGAGGGTTAATTTTATTTTACCGTGCAGCTCAATCCCTCTCCTAGCGAAGAGTGAAAACTGGAAGTTAGTGCTTTGAATAGTTATTATTTTATTAAGAGTTGAATTAGAATAACTACCAGTTATTTTCTTATTATTGTGGGATAATACTGTAAAACAAGTTAATGGTCACCAAAAAAACAACACTCGTCTTACCCCTCCCCCAAAATGATTTTAAAAAACTCATTTGCTTATCAGTGTTTATCTTTCCGTCCCTACTATTAGCCAAAGATTTATAATATTGTTTAGTATAATAGTGTGTAATAATAAGGAAACACCACTACACTCATCCCCCCAACAATTAACCTCTTCCCCCCCCCCAACGTAATTAACATATGAATACAAAGGCGGAGAAAGTTTGCATAATCTTGGGTAAAAACAGTATTATGATTGTTATAGTATTACAATCTTACTTTGTTTAGTTCCTTTATTTTATTATTCCTGACGATCGTAGTAAGTTGAAGTTAAGTAAATCCTGAGGAGTGCATATAACTTTAACGGCCTCGTCATAATCATTCACGTACTGTTCAGAGTCTTTCTTTGCCCTCTCAAAAAATCGCCATCAAAATCACTATCACCAAGCATGGCTGGGTTGTCCACTTGAGCACTATTGTCACTAGACACACACTCAGGATTTAGGGCTCCTGACGCCACACCAGAAGGGCTGGCCTCACTCGAATCTTGCTCTAAAATCGACCAGACATTGTGTAGCACTTCTCACACCCATGGAACACAAATAATGTCCATGTTAAGCCGAAAAGTTATCCAAAATAGCAGTAGAAACACTGAACAGCCTTATGCTATGCAGCGCGGCAAGACTAACAGGGATACAGCATCCGGGCGTTTGGATTGGCCGAGGAGCTGTGACATAGCAAGGAAAGTCCATTGTGATTGGCTGACTCAGAGGGTATGGTCTGCGGGACTCGCGCTGTCATTGGCTCACACTCCTCTCACTCTGAACAGGATGTGACCACCTTTACTTACTGAGCGCACAGTCAGATACGTAGCTCCCGGCCTGAGGCGAAATGATACCCTATTTTTGAAGGACTTTCAACCATATTTCTAGTCTACCTAGGGGATTACATCCAACACCAGCATGTAGAAGAAGGGTGAAAATAATGATATCCATCAAAAAACTCATTTTGCCCGGGGTGGTGATTTACCCCTTTGTAATACGGAGCACCTCAAATGTTGTAAGGATGATGTCATGAACAAAGGTATTACAGCAATGAACTTGTGAATGGTTGCTGGTATTTATTAGCCATAGACCCTGAGCTACTGTGGGTTTGTGTCTATAGGTTATAGAATCATTATGGTACAGTACACTGAAGAACCAGAGAGGTAAGATGATGACTGTGGTCTTTAAGAGTAAATGGCCTCTTCTTTTAGCTTTTGTCTAGCTTTCTTATATTTATAAAATTTTGTCCTTTGTCTATTGAAAGATATTATTTGAAGATTCTTGCATTATCTCTCGTCACTTTCCTGTTTGGCTAAATATACCTTCACTCACAGAGCTTTATACTCTGTATAAAGCCTCCGGTAACTATAGTAAACATCTTTCTGTGGCTTGTTAAGACTTGAGAGTTTGACCCATTGATGTTTTAAGTGAAAAACAAAAATGTATACATCCATAGTTGCATCTTGATTAGGAACTCCGGATGACTTACAAGCCCTACACAGTATTAGTACCCGGTATGTACATTTAGTCAGTTTTCTATTAAAGGGTATTGTGTCTCCTGAAACACATAATTTTGTGTGATGCTGCACGATTCTGTTTTACTTGGGTTTTCCAGCCACAGTTGTATTTTGTAACCAAGTTCATTAACCTTGAGCAGTTGATCCTTCCTGTTACAAGTGTTGATAAGAGAGAAGTGGGCTCATATATGACTAGAAATACCTAATGAAGTAAGGGATGACATTTATATACACTCTTTGTTTTGTTATTTTTTTGTGATTTCATTCCAACAGTAAGAATGGAAAGCCTCAAAAACGGGGAAAAGTCAACCTTATTGGGCGACTTCAACTGAGCACGGAGAAGAGTAAAGAGGAGGACAATGAGGGTATTGTGCAATTGAGAATACTTCGTACTCAGGTCAGTAATCAGCGTAACCGTTACAATATGATGTGTGTACAGCACTTGATGCACATTTGTATTTGTAGCAGTTCCCTGTGTTTATTTTATTGTGTCTCTTGCTTGACAGGTTACTGAGACATTAAGCATAACAGCAGATGGTCCCTGGAAAAGTTTGGCTTCTTTCACTTTTCCAGACCACTGACTCTGATGCTCTATTTCAGGTCGAGTTAGATTATTATGTAATTAAAAGACAAGATGATGCCGTTGTGTATATCAGTTTAATGGTAGGTGGAATGATTATTTGTTATCTGGTAGCAATTAGTAGATGTTGAGTGTTAAAGCAAGGGTAAGGGGTGAATTTGAGACACATGAAAGAGAATGGTAGTACAGTATACCATGTTAAAATTAATATAAATTGCATACTGCCAGGAGGTGTAAAAAAAATGTGGAATAATGAAACTGCATTTATTATAGTCCAGTCAAATGGTGAGGAAAACAAATATGGGCTTTGTGTTATAAGCAAGAAACTTGTCACACTTATAGAACTTGATGTGCTGACTAATCCTGAGGTACGGGGGCACTTAAAAATGGCTCTTATGACATTGAGGAAATATTGTAGAAACTCAGTAAAGTTGTGGCAGTGAAAAGACATAGTGATGATTAAGGTGTGGCTTCCTTTATCAATTATGATTTAAACAAAGAAAATGATAAGTGATACTGATAAAGTTATTACTAAGCACAAAATCCATGATAAGGTGCTTTGTAAATGGGTCTGGCATTACATAAGTTTAAGCTTCAACTTGGCATTCATCATTTGAATGGGAAAACTGTCCACTGGAAGTGAGGCCACCAACAAATTCATTAGTGGGTTTTTCAAGTTGTGGTGTCAGTGGTGCAGGTGTGGGGAAGACCCGAGGGTAAGTACTGTTCAAGGAAAGTGTGATTAGATTGTGTTGATGAGTGTTAGTATGAATGAATAATGTATATTGTTAGTACTGGAAAGTACTGTACACAAGAGTTGAAAAAAAATACAATCAAGTTTATTCATATGCCTTCATATGCATAATAAGAAATGAAAAGAAACTGCACTGTATGTATTGTATTGCAGAATACCAGTATACTATGTGGTTTGATGTGTTATGAGAGAGTTTGATGTGCTGACATACAGTATATGTTACGTATCAGTAAAATACATTCTTGTTCTACAGGAAGCCATTGTGAAGATACTGAAGATGAGGAAGAGAATCTCTAATGCACAGCTTCAGACAGAGCTGGTGGAGATGCTCAAGAATATGTTCCTTCCCAGTAAGAAATTAATTAAAGAGCAGCTTGAATGGCTCATCGAACACAAGTACATGAAACGTGATGATGATAATATTAACATATTCATATACATGGCCTAGTTGCAAAATATTGGGCTGCAACAGAGGAAAACCGTCTGCGCGTGCAACCTCCTGGCACTTTGTGCAACTGTACATATATGGAGTCTCTTGTGGCCAAGTGGTTGTTGCAATGGCTGCTGCCTGCTTACTGTCTGGTGGCTGTTACTGTATAAATAATAGTGTAAGATTCTTCACTCCGTATTGGCCAGATAGTTAAATGTTTCTTCTGTCAAGCAAGCAGCCAGTGGTGAGGTTAATGGGTGTGTTGGGGCTTGTGCAGGCACAGGTCAGGTGCTCTGGACACTATCAGAGACCAAGTTCACATTTTTTTGCTATTAGCTGTACTACTTACAGCTAGTCAACAATTATAATGAACCTGTCTTGTGAAAGTTTAAAGAAGATTTTAAATATTTCACTGCTGCTAATATCACAATTTTAACCCCCACAAGCAGTGCAAGTTTTGAGTTCAAGATCAGAAAGTTAATGATATTTACAATGGTATTCCTAAAGAAAATCATGGAAAATTTAGAATTAACCAAACACACTTTTACATATACTGTACTGGTAAGAACAACTCTCATGTCTCAGAAAATTCTGCATAATTAAAATGCTTTTACATAGTCATGGTAAGTCATTCGGCCTAAATGATCCTGTCAGGTTAACTAAAATATGACTGATTTTTTTCTTTCTTTTTTTTTTTTTTTTACTATAACATTCAGTTTCAGCTTGAAGGCAGGAAGATTTTTCCTTTGGAGATGCAGATTGTAACTGTCAGTAGTAGTACTTATTACTTTTAATAGTTAACTTCATTGAGTGATTATTTGATGAACTACAAGCGCTCACACTAGTTTCTGAAGTCTCTCTAGATGAGGATCATAAGACATTTGGATGGACAAGGGCAAGGGAGGGGCATAATAGCTCAATCAAAATGGCAGGCAGACGTAACTGAAATCGCAGCTCTGGATTTATATACATGATTGTTAAGCCCTCACTTGTACCAGAAGCATTTTGTGGAACCTCAGGTATCTCATAGAGGTTAATAAAATGTTTAACACTTGTGATACATATGAATATTATTTGTAAATAAAAAATTATCTTGTGATAATATTAAAAGTACTATTCCTGAATTGGGTTGTATTGGTTTCTCTGAGGAAATCCTAGTTGTCATCAGTTCGTAATTTGTAGTATTGTGTAATACAGTACAGTAGAAACTCAGCTATCAGCATTTCAACTACCTGCAAGCTTCACTTATAAGCACTTTTCTGGTCTTTGACCTTAAGCCAGGCAGTTCTCGTAATACAGGATGCCTACAATAAGATCTTATGTAATTTGATTAGCCTTTATAATTTCAGCTAAGGTTGATCTATTAATTCATATGGATGTACTAATCACCTTTCCTTCCCTATCATGCCGTTAGCCTTAATGAGGGGATTTGTTGATAACAGCTGCCCACTGGAGGTTAGGCGGTTTTAATAGAGCTGTGATGGCCAATCAGCTCACGATATGTTTCTGCCAATATCCACCATCTTTGGTTCCAGGAAAATCCTCTATTTTCTAATACAGTAATTCAATTCCTAGCATACAGTCCAAGAGGACAATCACAGTAGACCAACCCTCTCTGTTTTGCTAATATTGTACAAAAACTAAGTGTTGAGCCCCTTGGGACACTTCAAGGTGTGTTGGCTAGAGCTTCCACAGTTTTAAGTACATGTACAGTATTGTTATACAGAGTAAGATAAAGTTTGTTTATGTGTTACTGACCCTCCTGAGTTCAAGTTTGCATGTTATAAATGGCAAGTCTGCACTGGTTCTTGTTGACTAATCATTACAAGCAACATATTTTGTGGTCTGTTGATTTGCAAGGGGGTTGCTTTTGACCTGTCAACGTAGGAGTATGCGATAGTCATGAACTGGTTAAGGATTCGAAACTAGACAACTTCCACTGGGCTTTAGCATTCTTGCATATTACATATCCTCTTTTATAATCCTGGGCAGCTTACCCTGCTTTAGTTTTGATCTTCATGTATTAAACTTGGTGAATCCTTCAGGGGAACTATTAGGTAGCCCAGAGAGGTTGTGGTTAGTCAGTGAGTGCATGTTTGCTAGACTTGAACTTTGAAATACCCCCCTATCCTCCCCCTCATACTTGTATTACTAAATAGGCCTTTTTACCCTTGGGGACATGGGATTTATCTTCATTTAGATATATGGACTCACTGGGTAAATAAGCAATTGACAAGTAAAGTTTAGCTGCTTTAACTTGCTCACAGTGTTGTACTAATACTATGATCATCTAGGTAATACTGTAATTGATATAGTTTGTTAATGAAGTTAATGAACAGCATTTAAAAACAACTCTAATTAAATGATTCACTGTATAATTATGAACTGTGTGGTATCTAGTGGAGGTCAGCTCTAATGTATTCTTTTGATACTGGGTGGCTTTGGATTTTTGGGGGTTGGACCAATGCTCTGCTGGGTAAAGGAGGGGGGGCTGTTAGATTGGGTGAATAAAAGTACAGTACTTCTGTATTTCAGAAAGGGCATTGAGGGCACCTTTTAATGGGTCATGTGGTTGAATATAGTTTTGTCTGAGGATTGGGAAAGGCAAAATAAAACGTCAAAAAATATTTAAGTTTTGTTAAAAGAAGGTCAGATTCATTTGTTTGCTACACCTATGTTTTCAAGATTACATTGGTCTTATCTGTGGGTAAATCAGCATTCTGTTATAAATCTGTATCCTCAATCAGCTCAACGGTTCTCATGGGTTTTCCTTGAATTTTCTGCTTAAACATGACTTATTCTTAGAAAATAACATGATTTAACTCCACTGCTTCTTGTGACCGGAGAATGGCAGAAGAAATGTTGATTCATAAAGAGAATGAGGGATTTAACTGGGGTTTCTCTATTGAAGATGGGCTTTCACTGCCCCTAAATCCTGAACTGTGATTCTTGGGTTTCTGAAGTAGTTCAGGAAGGTTCTAATATAAAGGAATAATTTCCTATTCTTTTGGATTTTGGAATATAAATACTATTGGATAAGTATTAGGTATTGAAGGTTCAGGGTAGCATATTTGTAGACTATTCATGTTCTTAATGCGTATTGGGGTCAAGAGTAATTTCTTATCCTTGGTGCACATGGCCTTGGTGGTTGCATTTTACTTGGCTTTCCTCAAAGGTTTGTCTCCGAGTCAAACTTTTGGGAAGGAGTATAGATACTAGAGAGGACTTCCTTGGGTTGTTTGGATTAATCTTTTGCATAGTTGACCTGCATGGTACCTTGGAACCTGTGGTGCTTTCATCCTGGTTCCTGGGATAAAGGTTATGAGTTACTCAATTACTTGGATTTCATGCCTTCATCTTCTGTATTAGTTGTCTTAAGCATCAATTGGTAACCCAGTCCATCTTCATTTATATACAATACAGTATTAGAAATTAATCCTGAAACCCTGTTTTATAACTAACATGGATTGGGTAACTCTAATCTCTCCCTCCCTCCCTGGGAATGCTGATGAGCAGAGGATTGAGATGTGCATCTGGGGTCCCTTTTTATAACCTGCTTTGGTCAGGAGGTGCATGCACAATGTCTTGGCATTAATAGACTCAAAGCTGTTGCCTTTGAGCAACTGATTCATTGTCATCCCATTATTAATTGGGACTAGTTAAATCAGAAAAGATCCCATTTCTAGTTGTACTGAATTTCTGGGTTATAACTCAACAGCACAAGTGCAGATCCTGGCATTAAACCCACAGGCTACTGATGGTGCAAATAAGTTGCCTGATTCATTTTCTATATGAAATGAAACTTCAGGATCATTCTCTAATTTCTGGTGAAGCTTGTAGTCAGGCAGGTTACTGAAACTGATTGGAAAATCGTGGATTGTTTTGGAATCAAAGATGACAGACATTGGCCTAGACATGTAATTTGATGATTGTTAGATATGGCATTAATAAGACTTCCTAGCCTCCATAGGGCAATTGGTACCCAAATTCCCCATCAATTTAAGTGGACGGTGTGAGATAAGTGAATGCTATAGCCAAATGGATTTATAGGTCAACCATAGCTGACCTATAAACAACCCACTATTATGAGAGCTACCTGGCTATGGGCTTTGCTAGAAAAAGGGATTTCAGAGTTATTCCTCCAATTATCCTCATATACTGTATGTATCGTCCAAAATTTCAACAATCTGCAAGGAGAAATACACTGCAGTAGAAATAACCGTGAATTGAGGAAATGGAGTAAACTTGGGTGACATGCCTCCTGTCCACACCAAGAGTCAGCCAGAAACCATTGAAGTTTATCCTGCTCACCAAAGGTTAGAAAAGCCCTGAACATGAATTATTTTAAGAAGCACTTGTGTTAAGTCAGACTATGAGTGGGTCTATGGTAATTATCAAGGCCAAAGAATATCAGCAGAAAATACAAATGAGAAGTATGTACCCATCCTTGGGTTGCTAAGTTGTTTTAAAGGTTGTCCATAATAGGTAAGAAAGCATGTGCCAGTATCCTTGCTCCAAAGAATTGACTTTAATGGTGGCCCTACTGACTTGAAAGTAATGTACCAGTGAAATCTACTGAGAGTACTGTTTATGTACCAGCTTGACTCAATAATCTGATGAGGACTATTCCTGCTCAGTCTGTAACATAAACTCCATAAACACCAGAAAGACATGTTAGTGTATCAAGTAAAAGGTGGCATGTACTGCATTCCCAACAGAAAGACAACGGAGAAGTGTGAAAAAGTGGATTAACCTGTGATCGACCACAGTGACACAAGTTAATATATACAGTACATGCATAAAGGTAAATTAGTGTTTCAGTTCTGTAGTTTGTTGGTAATTTATATTTTGACAGCAATACATCTCCATAGAGTGGAAAGGGTGACTGTTTTCACTTCACATCCTTATGAGTATAAACTTACTGTGAATTGACTGTACTGTACACAACAACTGTGTGCACAAGGTAGTTACATAAGAACAACACCCATACAATCTGAAAAATAATTTAGAATACAGTACCTGTAATGCACTAGGCCTTGTCAATTTTTCAACTTGTTTTGCATAGCTGTATAACTTGAGATGTGTATAACCTTTCAAATGTATTATTTTCATTTAATTATAAAGTCCACTGTCACTTGCTTTCTAGTTTGGTGTGCTGTAGCCTAGTACATACTGTACTCCCAAAGTGACTTAAAAAGAAATCCTGTTCCCTAACTTTTTTTTACTGTTTATGTTAATATGCTATGCTTTCACCTCAGAAAATTTTGTGCATAAAAAGTTTATTTTGCAGTGCAAGATCAGTTTAATGGTACAATTTTGTCCTTGGTGACATCTTGCCACAACCTTTAATATATCCCCCACCTCATTTTCAATATCTCTCTGTAAATAATTTATATCCACGCAGCTTGCATGAAAGAGATCTCAAGTTCTTTGAATAAGAATTGAGAAAATTTTGGAAGTGGATATATCAATATGACAGTGCAACCCTCTTAGCAACCAATCCACTTATCTTAGCTGCCATGATTGCTAAGTACAGAGATTAGTGGGTAGGTTAGTTGTGTGGCCAACTTCCAGAAGATTCTTTAAGAAAACATCTGGATGCTGGGGAGTTAGGTACTACAATACAATAATAGGTCTTATAATGTTTTAACTCCAAGTAAAGTATTTAACATACAGTATAGTATGTAAAAGTTATTAGTCAAAATGTCAGAACACCTTAGTGAAGATTCAAGTATCTGTAGTTGTTAACTGCACATGGTCAGGAATAGAGACTTGGAGGTAATAGAGTTTCTACTGTTGTGTAATGCTTCGTTTTTCTTCTTAGTTGCATCAGTAAGACTATAAATTGTGTGTAAGTAATAAAAACATGAGTTACAATGATGACATTGGAAAAATCATAACATTCAACAGTTCACTTAACAAAAGGGCAGTGGTAGAATTTTGCACACAAACTGAAAACTGGATGGCTAGACCCTGCTGCTGTGTCCAAGAACCCCAACCTTTAGTGTTTTTCTTTTCTCATGCCAAGAGTCACATTTCACTCTTTCTCATGGATTTATAATTTTTATGATGTGTATTCTATGATGACTGTATATACTGTAGTAATTAAAGAGTTTAAGAGTCT